TAATTCCTTTTACATTTACAGAAGGTATATCATCTCTTCAGAAGAGTGATCTGGTGTTCATGGCAAATCAGCAAAATCTCTCTTTCTCTCTTCTTCAATCAGACACCACTTTTACTTCCATTGTTGAATACAACTCATTTTATTCAGCTATCCAACTGTTTATCTTTTAGTTTCTTATTTACTAACAATACAGTAAAGTTAAAGTGAAATTTAAGAGCTTATCACCCCATCCCACTGCTGATGGAATAGTTTGTTTTTACTATATCAGAAATGTGGAATAATCAAATTTAAAATCATACTATAAGCCAAATTCTTTTGTTTTCAGTCAATACATAGCACATAAAAATGACAAAATTTGAGTTAAAATGTATTAATTACATTAATATGTTCATTATTTTTTGATTTTCAAAAATACAAAATATGAAAAAAAATATTTAAGAGTCCCCTATATTTAAAGAGTTAATCTTAGTTTTCTGTCTTGTTATTGAATTATCACAACAAGTAAATATTTCTAAAAATGCATTTTCATGCAAAAATAGTGGTAGTTAACAAAAAAATAATAAATAATTATGAATACTTCCATTTATAAATAACAATTAAAATAATGAAACCATACACTGTATGCAATCATAATAGTCGAGGATTAAAATAATACAAAAGTTGGGAAATCAAATATTTCTGAAAACGGTTTTTAATTTCACAACCACTTCTAATGACTTGTGGACTATTTGATGTTTAATGTACACTATAGTCGCTTCTCCTGATGAAGGTATAAACTCAGTTGTTGACTGTAGGATGAGTAGTTGGTTATATAATGTTGATGTTGATATGAAGGTCGGTGCAGCAGAGGTTATATAATCTCCAGGACCTGTAGAGGTCACTGGACTATATTGGCATCTCCCTCTCACCAGTCACGAGCCACCGTTAGCTTACCTCACAAACCCTCTATTATGTAATAATATAATATAGATTGTGATATCAAGGAATAAGAGTTTAAAATGGCTTCAAACATACTTTACAACAACAATCACTTAGATTGTTAGCCATTTATGTAGTTGGAGAGAAATCCCAGACACACTCAATAGGGAATTAAAGAAAGTAGAGTAAGACTCTCTAAATACTTCTTCTGAAAGGCGATGCATTGATGTTTTCTAGCTATATGTAAAGAAACATTTTCTTGTTGATAAATTAAGACAATTTAGAAGGTATTACATAATACAGAAATTTTACATATCCACATTACAAATTCCACTTCGCCAAGTTTTAAATTTTCTTTCTTTCTGACTTGATAACCTAATCATAATCACCAAATTTTATAGTTGAACATATAGGAATAAAAATGTTGGAAGGTAAAAATCACATCTGTTTTAGATTAAGTAAAAAGAGAACGTAATTTCATAACATAAACCCCTGTGTTTAATTTAGTTTGAATGTCCAAGTAAAATATATTATATCATTTACATTTTGACAATAGTATTGTTGCAGCTAACTGACTACTTTTATGCATTCTTTTTGCAGCAAAGTTCACTGAAAAATAAAGGTACTCTATACAAAAGAGTACCGTACTATAGTTGGCCAGTACAAAAAAATTACACTGAATGGATTGGAAAGGTAAAACTCAACAGTTACAAATCGTGCAATACAAAAAAATTAAAACAATAAAATTAATAGTTACATTTTCTATTCTGAAAAGTTCATAAGTTGTAAATTGGTATTCAGAAACCAAATGCAAAATTTCCGTTTACAAGTTCATTAATAGTTAATTTGTGTTTGTTATAAAACATATTTTTTAAGGTTATCAACCTCTTAAAGACTGGATACAGTGAAAGTTACCGAACAGTGTCTGTGATATTCATTCTACTGGTGCTACATGGTGTTTTCTGTATGGTGCTGTATGGTGTTTTCCGGTGCTACATGGTGCTATGGTGTTTTGTGTGCTATCTGCCAAGTGTTGTTTGTGTTTGACCTGTGACCTGCCTGGTCATGACTGAAGATTTCCTGCAGTTGATCTTTGATGATGATCTAGTCAAATCTCCAGATCTCCCTGAAACTGCTTTTGAGGCTTGCAGTTACTTCGTTGAAGATGTTGAATTTGAAACTGGTATGATTCTTAAGTCTTATTGTAGGATAAACTATTTTATCATTTTTACATAGTTATATTTTTGCATAGTTACTTTGAATGTGAGGGATTATTATTTATTTTTTTGGGAAATGTGTCATATTATGGATGATTATTTAACGTTTATAACTGTTACATTTGAGGAAATATTATTTATTTAAGTTTAACAGCATGACTGTACAAACCTTTGAAATTCCTCCCTTAATCCACTCTCTCTGTGACTTAGATAAGTGCCTGTTTAGTTTTAATCATAACTTTTTATTGGTTTTGGGTGTTTGTAGAAAGCAGGATTCATGTGCTTCCCTTTATCCCATTTTCTACAGGGCGTGTTCTCACAGTGATGCATTATATAAAATGATGTTCAAATCAATTAATTGGATTCTTATAATAGGATTTGTCAGTGCTTGTCATTTAGCACAAAACCAAGCACTGAAAATACAATGCTGGTATTATTGAGCCAGTAAGTGTGGCAAGTGCTGAAAGGACATTCAGCAGCCTTAAGCTCGTAAAATCTTGGCTACGTACAAGAATGGTTGAATGGATTATGTCTCTTCATGTTTCAAGTATAGGTGGCAGAGAAGGAAAGGACAACATTTTTTTCTCTATCACCTTGACAATAAATAATCTTTTGATTATTACATACTTTTTAGGTTAGTTTAGTCTTAGATAAAGGTTTACCGCTGTTAAAGTAAAAAGACAATTTTTTTATACTTTTTGGAGTTTTTTAAACTTTTTTCAGGGGGAAATGGGTTTTTTAAATCTCTCATAACTTTTTAACTAATGAACCAATTTTATTGTTTGATGTCTCATCTTAAAGAGCAAAGAAGTAATAACTTTTTCTGCTTACTCATGTTTTTTCTTAATTAGTTTAATAAATAACTTTAACAAAATTCCTATGCAATTAGTATTTTATTTAATATTTTTGTTCATATACTTGTATTAAACCTATTACAATATCCATGGACAAAAAGCTGCTTTATAATATAAACAATGTGTGTTAAAAATTTCATTTGTATACCTTTAATAGTTAAAAAGTTATAAGAATTTATATGTAAAAAATAACAACGTTTTAAAGTTGCGGAAAACAGCGGTTGAAGTTTATACTAACCAGCTGCCTGGCTCAGTCTGATGCCTGAAAACAGGTGTGCTCGCTCCACTTCAAATATTTTTTTCACAGTGGTAAAAATATAGATTAGGTATACCATATGTTATGTTTTTCTGAAACTTTATAGAACAAGAAAAAATCATATTTTTACAAAATTAGTCATTTTCAGTAGCGACTCCCCTTAAGTAGATAAAGTGAGTACTGGGCGTCCAAAAATAACCCAGTTACCGATACGGTAATAGAAAATATTTTGACTTGTGGGCTGCCTAACCAGCTTCCTAACACCTGAGGATCTAGCTAGACTACTGTATTGTAATGGGAAAATATGTTGTAATAACCATGTTTATGCATATTATTTATCCCACCTGTCTACCCAAGCAACAGCCATTCAAAATCCTGGCATTCCTTTTGGAGGCTGTAAGTGGTAAACGATTTGTCCAAAAAATAGTCCAAGAATCTACTAGTGTGGAAGTATGAGGTGCCTTGACAAATTAGCATGCTGCGTACTATTTGCTGTACTAATTTGAAAGTAGCTCAAGAACAGGTTTTGATAACTGGCAAGGTCAGGTTCCTACTGTATTAGTTTTGATTCTAGACAGAACTAATAAGTGTGAAATAATAGTAAATACCCCCGCCGCAGCAAACCTGCCGACTAAGCGAATTTCCATTTGTCTGAATTGATTCAGTTAAATATATTTTAATAACATTAGGTTTAACGAGTACCTAGGTTTGCTGCTACAAGGAAACTAATAAAGTGTGTTTTTGAGTAAAATATTGATAGCTTAGTACAAAATAAATAAATTTGCCAAGTTTGATCAAAATATATCCACAAACAAGCAAACTACAACATTTGACAATATTTTCCATAAGAATAACATGGGAATTTTAAATTTAAAATTTTTTTAATTTTCTCCGTTACTAATAATCGAACAAAAATACTTTTATATACTAAATTATTTGTTTTTTTAAGCTCTTTAATAAGGCCTAAAGAGAAATCGGGAAATTTTGTGTTTTGAGGGTCAAAAGTGAGAAAAACCAATTTTTACCCCATAAAACCCCCCGTAAAGCCCCGTTCCCATGGTCCGATCGTGCTGGTTCGCGAACTCATTCAAGTTTATCCCGCTTTACACCTTTAAACCAAATTTCATCAAAATCGGACAAAAATTACTCAAGTGATCGCGTTCACGGACGTATATATATATATAAGTCTATATATATATATATATATATACATTTATAAAAATTTGAACGAATGGTGTTTTTGGCCTCTGGGGACATCAAAATGAAAAAGTAAATCGGTCCCGGGTCTAGGTCTTACCGTGCCACCTACGGTAATAGCTACTTCCCTATAGGGAAATTCGCTAAAATTTGAAGTTTATTAAAATAATTGTCAATACTCACTTTTTATCTGCAATATATAAAGTGTATTATATAAAAGTGTAATATATAAAGTATTTTATCATGGTCATGCAATAAACGGCCAAAACTCAATTCCTCTCTACTCTGGGCTACCCTTCTCCATTAGCATGGTGATTATTCAGTCAGTTCCTATCGTAAATGGAAAATGGTTCCAAAACGCAGAACATTTTTACACAGTGTAAAATGAACACAACGAATATTCTTCTGTAAGCTGAAAGCTCTTCAGCATAATCAATTAACCAACCTCCAATCTACAAGAACTTAAGGTGATGTCAAAAAGAATTAGGAAAAGGAAAGTACTGGAAGAATTGGCATATCTATTAGACTATTTATCTAAAGCTGTTGTCTGTTTTGCAGATTCCAGAGAACAAGTGCGTCACAACTTCCACCAATCTCTGAGAGAAGCTTGTAGTAATGGAGACATTGCTCTGGTGAGGTCTCTCATCTCTCAACTGAGCTCAGAGGCTGAACTGGTGGTCAACATGGCTCCCAATGGCTCCAACACGCTGCTTTATACGTGAGTATCCTCAATCCTCACATGTTAATACGTGATACATGTTTTAGATTGTGTTGTGACAGTGGCGGATCCTAGGGGGGGGGGGGGCAAAGGGGGCAATTTGCCCCCTCCCACCAAGAATTTGAAAACAAAAAAAATTGTGATTTGTTTCTAATATCAATTCAGGTTAACGAGTGCCACTGAGTCACTGTCACGCAAAACAGATAGAATAATATTTATCAAATCAGTGCCATAAGACATTAAATTTACTTGCTGGAAAGCTACGGGGCGCAGGCTCTAGCAGTATAAATTAGAAGCCTACCTAACTTTGGCCGCTGAGTCTAGATCGTGTGCAAAATAGTTCCTTAACCTTATCCATTCTGCATCGTTGTTTTACTTAGGTTGGTAATGTTTTTGTGTTGAGCTGTAACTGAGACTGCTGATGTTATGAAACAAGCTACCAAAATGACATTGTCCTTCAAATAGTTAAAGGCAACGCCAGGTAAGCTTACTCTATTTCATATGTCATCATAATGATAGTTAGTAGGTTTAATAGTTCACCTACACCTAACAACATAACCTTCGATTGGTGCTCGTCCATGACGGATCTAGAGCATGTGAAAACTCTTTAAAAATTATTCATAAAGCTATGCTATACCATGTTAAGACCTACTAACCACCTCTTAAAAGCTGGGCGTTTAGCGAAAAATGCCCAGAGTAGTAAAAACCCAAAGGCATAGAGAAAACCATGAAGCAGAGTCAGTGATGGAATATTATAGAAAGTCCATGTGCATTCCCCTTCTCGACCATGTCATCAATGATCTACAAACCAGATTCTCCAAAGAAAATCTGTTGTGCTTCGACCACAACCTTTTAATGCCAGCAAGTATATTCAACAATGTCAACAAAAAAGGTTTAAAGTTGAACGAGAGACTGCATAAAGTTTTCAAAACTTTAAAACTCTTTTGCCTAATGATTCTGAAGCTGTATTTGAAGGGGAGTCAAGCATTTGGAGAGCTGAGTGATCAAGGGAGAAAGAAGAAGGAATGTAAAATCCTAACTTTGCCATAGAAGTGTTCAAATGCTGCGAACAAGATATATTTCCAACTATACGAACTCTTCTACATGTACTCATCACACTACCAGTAAGTGTGGCAAGTGCTGAAAGGACATTCAGCAGCCTTAAGCTCGTAAAATCTTTGCTACGTAAAAGAATGGTTGAAGTCAGGTTGAATGGATTATGTCTGTTATGCATACATCACAATTTTGAGGTGAATGTTGAAAACGTAATTTAGCGTTTTGCTAAAGGAGGAAAAAGAAGGCTCGACTTGGAACTTGTTGTTTAAGTTTTATGGAGAAAAGTTTGTAAATAATAAATTTAAGGTTTGAACCTTCAAATTGGTCTTTTGTGTTTTTATTTCCCTTATCAAGTAGACTATTGTAAATAGATCTAATTAAAAACTATAGATTTAAATTGCAAAAATAATCAGGACTTTGTCTCTAGTTGGACTACTAACACGAGTTTTCAGTTTAAATTTTCCAAAATTTTCCGGGGGTGGACCCCAGAGCCCCCTCCAATGGGGGGTTATCCTTACCCCCCAATCCCCAAAGATTGCCCTCATCATCGAACTTGCCCCCCCCCCCCCCCCCCGAAATAATGCCTTGGATCCGCCACTGTATTGTGAGCTTGGTAGTGATGACTCAAGTTTGCAGTTTACATGTTTAAGTTCATGATGCTCAAGTTGCTCTGGCTACACGTTTATAATGTGATACAACATTGCAGAGCATGTGAGCTTGGTCGTAATGACTCAAATTTGCAGTTTACATGTTTAATTTCATGATGCTCAAGTTGCTCTGGCTACATGTTTATAATGTGATACAACATTGCAGAGCATGTGAGCTAGGTCGCAAAGACATAGTGAAGGCACTGTTAGATGCTGAGGCTGATGGTCGTATTCACCCTGTCACTCGCTATTCTCCTCTGTACATCGCTTGCTTCAAGGGTCACAAGGACGTTGCTGAACTTTTACTCAAGGTAAATATCTATCCAACTAGCCTAATAAGAACTTAACATTAGGAATATTTTAAACTGTGATTTTATTCACAAAATGAAATAACGTAAGGGTTTGTTATTTGAAATCATTACTTTGCAAATAAGTGTATTTTATAAAGCTCACTTTCTGATTCCACTATATGAATTTAAGGACTTGAGTGTTAATTATTCCATGCTGTATGCGGCCTGAGAATTCAAACACTGATCTTTAGGATTTCAACAACTTATAGATAGACTATTTTGAACAACAACAAAACAAACAACATCACAACTATTTAAGGATGTTCAAATAATTTCTAAAACTGTTTATACTTATTCACAAAAGCTCAGTAAAAAGGATGTACTATGTGGTATGTCCCATATCAAGCAAGGTATAGTCTTCAAAGTACCGGTACCGGTACCCATGCTGTTTCACCCATAAATTATATTTATTTTGTATCTTTTTTAAAAAACCATGAAAATGGTATATGCTGCTTTGGGCATTGTAAAATGTAATAAACAAATAAATAACTGTTGAACTCTTATAAAAAGGTGTCCTACTGATTGTAAAACCAGAAATTGTTTTGGCTACTAAAAATTCTACGAAGTATTAATCATGTGCTGGAAAGTTTTGAATTATTATCATTATGGCATGTTACATCATTATTGTGGTCTGTTAGTTGTTTTTTCACATTGTTGTGTCAAGTAACTAAATCATGGGAACAGATCTTGATATTTCCCAGTCATTGGAAAAACATGATATTCTGCAATCGCAGGAGAGGATCTTGACATTGCTGGGGTTCTGGAATGAACAGTTTTGATAGTAGCTCCAATAAAGGTTTTGTATATTTAGAACGGTTTTACTTTTGGGACTACTCTTTTAGAGATTTTGATGTGAGAATTGAAATTTGTGGATTTTATAATCACTAATATAATAACTAATGATTGGTCGGTTTTTAACGTCGGTTATTGGTTTTAGCCTATCAGTTTTAACAAAAAAATCAAACTGAATATTTAAATAAAGATCAGTTTTGGATTATCGGTTACTGTGCAATCATATTTTGCGACGATCGCTGGTTCGTTAGAAGTAATAAAATGTTAATCAGGTGTTTGTTTATGACTTTCATAATTTATTAGTACTATCTGTGGTGACGACGATGAATTATACCCAAAATCCAATGATAAAATAGGCCTACACCATAGTAATCTAAAGGGAAGGTTGGGAATAGAGAATAGGGTGCTATACTTTGGAGGATTTTTCAAAGGACAATTTATATGTTTTTATTAATTCATATAATTTCCGACAGTTTTTTTTATGTAGGCTATCTTCATCACGTTAGAGTATGTAGGCTATCTTCAATTTTTTAAGTAGTTATGTTTATTTGATAATTTTGTAGACTTTAATTCAACATGTTTACTGTTTTGAATTTTTATTTGTGTCCTCAATGAGTTTTTGACGATGTACCTGTTTGTGTCACCTTTGTAATGATTAAATTTTAGGTGCAAATGAATGGTACTTACTAATAAATTATAAGACTTATAAATTACTTATGACTTATAAAAGTGAAGTAAAAAATATCAGTAAAGTCACAGAAAACGTACTACTATAACCCAGAATGCCAACCGCATAGTAAAAAGCATTAAGTGTTTTGAGAGAGCTTTGCCTGTCAATCCGTAGGCAGCGCCACCAGCGTTGCTATGCAATAGCATGGCAACGCTGGTGGCGCTGCCTACGGATTGACAGGCAAAGCTCTCTCAAACCGCTTAACAGGGCCGGAACAAGGGGGGGGGGGCAGAGGGGGCGGTTGCCCCGGGCGGCAGGGTTGAGGGGTGGCAAATTTCTGGTTGCAGTAAATTTGTTTAATACAGTTTGTAAAAAGTTTTTAATGAGCCGAACGTCATAAGGAACGTCAATTAAGGAATTTCAAAACTGCATAACGTAATAAACAAACAATAATTTTACAATAGAAATCAATATAAATTGCAACGGAGTAGAAAACACTGAGAGCCCTAATAGCATAGTTAGCAGCACAGAAAAGTTTGTTTATAATTTCAGCTGATCGCCATCCCTGTCAAGGCGCCATGCCGCCCTGCCTCACTGCCGTGGTTCGTTATATAGAGGTTAGGTTTGCAGGAATTTCGCTAAGTCGAGGTTCAGAACCAGCGTCGATCGATATAGGTCGGGACTTGACCTCATTAAAATACAGTACAATTAAAGTAGCATGGGCTACAATACTTTACAGTACAGTGTTTACATTGTACAGTAGAACCTAAATTATCCGGCATAATAAAGGGGAGGGATCTTGAATATTGCGCAATCATGACAATGGCATTGACCTTGGTACAGGTTAAAAACTATAAGTTTAAAATCACAGCTTGTTTCTAACCCTCCTAAAACCTAGCCAAACACTGTATTGCGTAGTCATAAATTATGTAAAGAACAAAACAAAACAGTAGAAAGTTTTGTAAGCTACTGCCCGCGATAGGCCGGTAGGCTACTTACAGTACAGTACTGATTTATCACAACAGAGGAATGTCAATAATAATCATTAACTATAGCATTGGTGTTGCTAATGCTAGTTGAAACAAATCGTATTGAAAACAATAAATTATTAGATAAGTCATTATAAAAGTGTATAATCATAGCCAACTTAAGGATAGTAAAAATACTCGTAAAAGGAATGTTAAAAAAACGATGTTGTTATTCTTTCTCTTTGGTTTTGTTTTTATATTCTTTCTTAGGTTTTTCTTTATCAAAAAAATTGTACAATTCACCATAGTTATCCCATATTGCCCAATCACAGCTTACTAAACATTACGTCGTCATCAGTCCTCAGTGAATGAAATCAGTTCTCAATTGCAACATAGCGCGCGCAGAGACAGCAGACAAAGATGTAAAACGGAGCAGACGAATGTTAGCGCAAGCGATGACGTGACCTTTCCATTTCATTTGATAAAGAAACAGATTTTCCCAAAACAATAATTGGGTGGGGGATTTGTTATATCGAGGGAAAGACGTAGACAATTTGTTATGCAGAGGTTAAATTCGCAATGTAGAGGTTCTGACAATGATAAATTTGTTATATTGAGGTGTCTTATTTTAGCCGAAATCACGAAAAATTCGTTAAATCAAGGTCGTTGTTATAGTTTGTTCGTTATGTAGAGGTAAAATATACATTGTGTCTTATGGAGAGTTCTAGGGGATTTAAAAAAATTCGTTATGTCAAGGAATTCGTTATATCTACCTATTCCACTTTACCCTCCATTTTTGTTTAATTTGTGAGGGATTTTTTGTTGTGGGTGAAGGGGGGGGGAGGGGCGGCAAATTTTAGTTTGCCCCCACTCAAAAATTGTCTAGATCCGGCCCTGCCGCTTAATGCTTTTTACCATGCGGTTGGCATTCTGGGTTATAGTAGTACGTTTTCTGTGGTAAAGTAGATATACTTTCACATATTTTCTATTGTGTAATCAGCATTTGCATATTATTATGGAGAGAGGAAGTAGAAAACCTATTAGACATTCTGGCTCATTCTTCCATAAAGAATTTCTTTTCTCTCGGTCATAAATGTTAATAGCCTTATCTAAATATACAGTTCCGCCCTGTAGCCTACACTCTCTGTTCCAATTAGCTGCATTCAGTTGTGAATGATAGACTGTTGTAAACTACACTTCCCTGTATTTAGTCAGTCTTGACTACCTAGAATAGTGTAAGTGATTACGGAAGTTTCATGGTCAACTTTGTAAAATTTGCAGATATAGCTACGTCCTATTTAAAAGAATGCAGGTTAACTTAACAAAACTTTTAACTTCTGTTAATACAAATCTAGAGAGTTAAGGGGGAAAACATGTATTGAAAAAGATTTGTTAATAGAAGCAGTAAAAATCTGCTTTATTGCTGTCAGCTTCTATGTCTATTGTCTCTTGTTCAGAAAAAATATTAAAATTGAATTTGTCTATAGCTAACCAGTATTATGTTCCTCCTTAAAAAAATTGGAGTAGACTAGTTTTATGTCGGGTTTACCAATATCAACCAACTCACCAAATGATAAATACAAAAGCCAATGAAATCACTTGAACTTAGTAATCTCAGTAAACTATGCAAATTTAAATTTAACTTTGAAGTTTATTTCTGGTACAGTGCTAATTCAGTATCATTCAAACTTCAAACTTCAGCACATTCAAAACCCTAAAGTAATGTAAAGGTTCTATTTTATATGGCTTTTGATCATGTTTAGTTGAGTTTGAGTTCAATTAGCTAAGATAGGGTACAAATCTTAGAGTACACACAAAAATGGGCTGGTACCTGAACAAGTCTGTACGACTTTTGAAAACAGTATTCCCACAATCCTTGGAATAACAGCTATTTTCAGCTACACTCAGTAATCCATGCTAAATTTGTGGACGTACTGAGTTAGCAAACCTCTACTGTTCTGCATTGGCAGAAAAATTCTAAACTTAATTCTTCTATGGCGGTAACCAAATAATTCATTATTATCAAAGTACTGTAATACAAATTTGATAACGTATAGCATCTCTTTACACTGTAGATACTGACCTTTTATGTTGTACACAGAGGTTTCCCCAGCTTGTGCAGCTGTACACAGTAGAGAAGTGGCTGCCTATCCATGCAGCTTGTATCAACAACCATGTACATATCATGGAGCTGCTACTCAAGTTCAACTATCCACCACAGCTACTCTCCACATACAGGTAATAAACCAGATGTTGTAGATGAGGCAGTCAAGACCTAACATATCCTGTTATGTCTGGATAATGATGTGGCTATTAATCGCATAATTCTCTTTAAAGTGTTGACATAAAATAGATAAAATATAGTGCCTCAAAAAATAATTGAAAACTATTATCAGAGCATTCCTACACTTTGTTTACATCCTGCTACATTAAAGTGAATATTCCATCTCTATTTTATTCATAATTTGCCTCCAGGATTGGTTAAATGACAACAATCATAGGTTACTAACCTGTTGTCAATCAATCCTAATTTGACAGGACGACTAGTTTCTGGCTTGACAATTGTCAAAAAAAAAGGATTTGAAAACAGGGTTTTAACCCTGAAACTAGCAATCCACGACAAATTAGGATTGATTGACAGGTTTGTAACCTATTATTTTTGTCACTATATCTCTAGTTTTTTGTCTGCAATGGAGCTTTAAAATGAGTGCTATCATTGCACGGTTCTGCTATTTGTGAAGTGGGCTCTGTGATCAGATTTTTGTTTGCACCAATTCATATGTCAATTGAAATGTATTACCAGGTTTGGGGTTTTTATGGCAAAAGAGCGATGGATGAAGGCCAAGTGAGCAATCGTACTTGTAGTTTTCCAGGAACGTTGGTGCTGGAGCAAGTCTCAGTTTTTGCGATTATCTGTAAAAAACTAGAGGGCAGAAAATTTGTGGTACCATGTTTTTTATGCTATTTTATGAACCAAACTATGTGAAATTTGGAGAACGATTTCCATAATTGTGAACCAGCAATTGTCACAGATTTCGTTGTTTCCCTACTAGTTAAACAGCCACTAGACTAGGCCTAACATTGTGGTCCTGATCGTAACATTTGTTCAGATATTTTTTAAGTTAATGCTCCATTGTCACCCCACACAGTCTTCACTCGTCACTCTAGTGCAGTAAACACATCGCCTTATACATGGCGATAAATTTCAATTTGCTTTTGGTTTTTTTCCTAAAAAAAAACTGATCACAGAGCATGCTGCACAACTCGTGGGATTTGTAATGACAGTGCTAATTTTAACACTCCACTACAGGAAAGATATTATTCGCATGCTCCAATGGCTGGATGCATACTGAGTGTGGAAAAGCTCTGATGCTAAGATGACGATGGTAGCAATGTCTCTAGCGGCGCACACATGAAACTTCTGTTTTCTAGACAGCCCTTGTACGTATAAGATAATATAATTGATTTTTAATGCCAGGAACACTAAGATGGAATATACAGCATTGTTTATAAACAAGTAAAAAATTGTTCAAAAAATAGAAATATTGATTTGATTAGTAAAAAAATTGCTTCAAGGATTTTTTAAACATGCTTTAAAAGGGTATTTACTCAGGGGAGGTATAGAAGAGGCTACGATGACAGCTGTGGGCTTCTTATTAGCTGAGGGAACGCCATTACCGTAACAAAACGATCAGTAGTCATCGGCTTCGGTGGTCTTATGGTTAGCGTGCCGGGCTGATATGCTGAAGGTCCCGGGTTCAAATCCCACTCGTGGCATTAACTTTTTGTCCAAGATTTTTTTATTATCAGCAAGTTTGGTTGGTTTGGTTCGGTTATGACAGTTTAATTTTATTATTAAGTCATTATAAAATTTTAATAGAGCAATTTCTAGTTTTATTTAATAAACAGAATTATTTTTTCTATTAATAAACTTTTGTTATATTATTTCATTATCAGCAAGTTTGGTTAGTTCGGTTAGGTTATGATAGTTTAATTTTATAATTAAAAAATAATAAAATTGAATTTGAGGCATTTATAATTTTATTTTATGAACAGAACTATTTTTGCGATTAGTAAACCTTCTTTGCCAAAGTACTCTCTACTACAGCGCTGTTCACGGAGGAATTTTGAACTAATGCCTCATTCGTAACTCCCCTAAGTCAGACCCCTTTAAAAGTATTAAAAATATCACAACCAGGTTGTATATGTATAGGGGTTTTATGATGGCTATACTGCATGTCAAAATTTTCTGGGCAAAAATTTAAAAATTCAGACAGTTTTGCAATCACAGTCAAAGCCTGGTAATCACAATACATTAAAGGAAAATCAGTGTAACCCTTTCAAAGTCAATCTTGTATATTTTGAAGGTTAAAAGATGTCTTGGTCATATCTCGTAGAACACATACCTACCAAACAAAAATGGCTTTATTTTCTTTAGAAACATCTTCTTTTTTTAAATAACCTAAGTGTGTAGTCATTAGTAAGTTTTTTTCTTGAATTGGGAATTCAGTTTTTGGTTGAATTTATGTTGAAGGGTTCGAGCTTATCATTCTAGTGACATGGAGACTTCATGGCTCAGTATCTGGGCAGCAATTCAAAATGACTTCCAGCTGTTGAGGTGGTTTGATCACTTGCATTTTGGGGTTTGGTTAACTCTGCTAACAGCTGGTTGTCTTTTGGTTTTGTGTGTTTTTCATACTAGACTTGCCTTTAAAACACTGATAATGGGTACCTATGCAAAAGTGTCATGATCATTATGTCATTTTGAGCTGTTCTTGTGATGTTAATAATGTATCCGGAAATTAGGAAAAAGTGTGTTACCACCAGTAAGCGTGTTGTGGATAAGTTTTGTATGGTTTCTGTCCCATTCCATTTATTCAACTTTCCGCCACTACATATGACACAATGTTGTGTTAAATCAGTCACAATGACTCAACAGGTATATGCTATACACTCATCACTTACTAACATTAAAAATAGAATGTTGAATTTCTATTTTTTGACATAACGTATTGACTGATCAAAATTTCAAGCACTTAAAAATTGGGTTTGCTTGGAGTCAGTGGCATAAATAATAACCCTTGCAACCCCCGCAGTGCAGAGGGGGGGAGCGCTTAGCTTAGGTCCAATTCTCACCGCCCACCTCAATCGGTAAAAAGGTGAGATTGTTTTCGTGACCGCGGTAGAGGAAGATAATGTCTTGCAAGATCAAAGAATTAATTTATGATTTTGACGCAATCACTGAAAAAAATTACGTTGTTTTCTTGACCGTGGGAGACGAACATGATGTCTACAAAACCAAAGAATAAATTCAGGATTTTGCTGCAATCACGGAAAAAGATGACATTGTTTCCATGACCGCAGGAGACGAAGATGGTGTCTTCAAGACCGAAGAATAATGCATGATTTTGCCGCAAGTCTACATGAACGCAGGAGATATTTAAGATTCGGCCACAATCACGGAAAACGATGACGATGTTTTCATCACCAATCTATGGAGGTGATGAAAAACATTCGCGAGATTTTTTGGATTTTTCCGCGATCACGGCTTTTGCTGAGATAAACGAATAAAACATAAGTGGGGACGTTTTACACATGTCCTGTGGGGGTCTCCACTCATTGTACTTACGCCACTGCTTGGAGTGCTGTGCTGTTAACTCATGAAAAAATCTTGATATGTAGTTTTAGTAAGCAAGGTTTTCTGCATTACATAAATGCAAATTAATTATAATGGCTATAACTATCTTATGTCAAAAGAGATTCCCCAAAAGTCATATTTTACTATTTTTTGCTGAAGTATCATAATATCTTAAAATGTAAAAAAATAGTACATAAAAAATATATTTATTTATTTATTTATAACTGTACTAGACGTTAATCTGATCGTTTCCCTAAAAACCTTTGATTTCTTTCATTGTCTAAAGTAAATTCTTTTATTAAGTGCAATATCAAAACAATTTTGTTATTGAACTAGTAGTATCAACAACATATGAATATGAAAATAACTAATGGTTTGTGTGTTACAGGGATGGAGATTGGGAGTATCAGCTGGCTTTTGACCTCAACATGAAGGATGTGACAGGTCAGAATGTGCTGTACCTAGCATGTCTCCTGGGCAACTACAAGATGGTGGATCTACTACTCAAGTTCAAAGTCAAGGCTTCAAGGATCAAGGTAAACAACTTCAATGATTTACTTCAATCAAACTTTTTGTAAATTAAGTTACATATTTAATCAATAGATTAACAATCTAGGATAGGTGAAGATAAGAAATAGTGATCAACACTGTCAGTAGAATTGCTGCTTCATTATTTCACCTCAGTTCAAATCTTAAGAGCTGACTCTGTAGTTGTTCCATGGAGTGTAGAAGAAGACAGGTGGTATAGACATACAGTTCCTGTAAGTTCCAGGGATGGCGAGTGTGGCAAAGCCATAACAGTACCAAAAAGACTGTTTTTAACATATGTTATTAATACCATATGTTGTGATTATAAAAAGAAAATAAAGTGAGTTGGACTATTGAATTATTTGCAAAAAGATAATGTTAACTGAAACTGAAATACTTTAATTGTCAAAAATAAAACTTCTTTCACACTTCCACATTTATATATTTACTTAAATTAGAACAAACTAATAACTCCGCGACAGCCAGTTTTTAAAGAAGTTAAAAAAAAACCCCTAATACCGAGAATTGTTGAAAAGTGTTGGCATAGACTAAGCAATACAAGTAGACTCCTCATCCCATTGCAAATTTTGAAGCTTGTTTTTCGTGTCTAGTTCATGTACGTCCACACTGATCGCTGGGGTAGACAAAATTTTGTTTCTATCATTTTAGGATTATTTTCATGATTTGTGCTTTACTATGTGGTTATATAACTAGGAGACCAGTTATTGTTTATGATTATATCGTTTTATTTGGTTAAATGGGGTTTTAAATGACTGAAATTACAAGAAACAAATTGTAAACAAAACACGACCTGACCTCTACAGTTGGATGTACATAACTAACAATAAAATTGGCTTCAGCTGTTCCATAAGGATGACAAATCTACTAAGGGAGTGCATATGTATATGTAGGGGGTGTGGGCTAGATTTTTTGGTTACCATGCCATATTTTTGCTGCAATTGTGGGATACAATAATGATGTCTTAACAATTACATGGGACAGTCAAGATTGTACTGCAATCGCAGGAGACAATCATGATGACTTTGCAATCGCATGAGGTGTTTATCACTATGCTATGATCACATTAGACGATGATGTCGTCACGATTGCAGGAGATGTTCAAAATCTTGCCGTAATAGGGAGAGATGATTGTGATAGTTCTGGGATCATGGATTATATTCATTATGACGTTATGATAAATAAATGCAAACTTTGCTAAATTTATGATCACTAAAGCTAATACTGCTTTTCTATTGGCAACCATTCAAGGGATGCAATCAAACACTATATAGTTACAATGATTAACTATTTTTATTGTCACATAAACTAGCCGCTTACCGTGTAGTTTGGAAAATAATAACCATTTTCTTTCAAAAAAAAATATTTTATGTCCATCAACCACAGAATACATTGATTAGAGCCGATAGAACATTAGTGTCGCTGTAAGGCTAACTAATTATTCACTTAAAGTTTCCCAAAACTTCTATAACTTTGTCATAGGTGGATACACCTAAAATGAACTGTGATATTTGGAAACAACAAATGATGAAATTAGATATATCATAACCAAAAACTTGAATTGAGGAGTAGCCGGAAACATGCGATTCAGCTTCTTTTGGTTGTTTTGAAACAGCTTTCACCTTTGAGGCTCCAACTAATTGTGATACGCTTCTTCTATTCTGACTGTTTCTGTTACTGGGATCTCTCTCGGATAGTTTTCTTGTACATATATTGCTAGATTCTCTTGTGCTGTTTTTTTGGTTTGTAGGAATTTCTTTTTTGACCTTAACACTAGACTTTTTGTCTTGTACCACGTTTTGAACAGTTTCATGATCACGTTTTAGTTCACTAATAGGTTTATACAAACTGCCTTGTGCCAAGCTTTTTTTATCAAACCTTTTAAAGACAGAACTTCTTTCCATAGTTGTACTTTTTGGCATGTTCTGTACATCTTCTAGAAGGTTTTTGTCTTCCGTTCTGCTGATCAAACTCTTTTTATCCTTCAAGGATTCTTTAAATAGTTTTCTATTAATCGTGCTTGTCTCTTCCTGCCTATTTTCTGACACAGCACTTTTATTTGGACTGTTGAAATTGGTTCCTATCTCATTATTTTGTGTAACTATTAGTTCTTCTTGTGGAGTATTTGGGAATACTCTACTTATTTTTGATCCTTCATTAGCTTTGCGTTGCACTTGGCTACCCCTTGCACCTGATATATCTCTTACAGGTTTATCCTTGTCTATATTAGTTTCCTCTTTACTTTGAAGTTTGAACAGCTGACTTTTCCTTTGTTCTGTGTTTTTGATTTCCTCTGAAACACCACCAGTTCCTTTAAGAGTACTTTTATTGATATCCATCTGGTCTCTACTTAGATTTTCATTAACCTTACTTTTCCATTGAATTACACTCTGCCTCACCATCAATGATTTGTTTCCCCCTGTATCATTTTCAGTGCCCTTTTCAGTAACATTTGTATCTGAGAGTGGAATTTTTAAATTGCTATTTCTCTTATTATCTTGGTTGATTAGTATGGTGTTGTTTTCATTCTTTGCTACACTTAAACGTTGTTCTCTACCTGTTTCAGTTCCTTTTACTAAGCTTCTTTTGCTACTCTGTAATGTTTGGTTTTGTACCGACTGTCTGCTTCCAGTATTATCTCTTTTCATTTCATTTTTGATCTCTTCAGGTTGCATCAAACTCTGTCGTTGAGGAACATTTGTTCCTTTAATTGTTTTGCTTTCTCTTACAATACTTGGAATATTACCCAGCACTATTTTTTCTGTGTCAGGCCCTTGACTTTTAAAACAGGTGTTATCTATATTATCATTTTTAATTTCATTATTTACCGATTTACTGATTGCACTCTCTTTAAAAGAGATAGGCCTATTAGATTCCTCTAAGGGTTTTGTGTCTTTTGAGTTTTCTTTATTCATTCCCAACTGTTTGTTCGGAGCTTCATTGTAGCAAGAAAAACTGTTATGAACATTCATTGCTGATTCAGTTATTGGAATTCCTACTTTTGAATAGTTACTGTTCCCAACATTTTTGTCACTAATTTTGTTTTTTTTAAACATTGATGATATAGATCTAAACGACATTTGAGATTTATTATTACTTACTGATTTAGTTCTTGAGTTTTTCTGTTTTTCTCTCACTTCATCAAAAGTACTACTTGTTTCACCTTTTAATTCTTCAGGCTCTTGTGCTTTTCCTCTAGACATTATTGATGACTTTTTATCCTTTTTAACACTCTTTCTCTCCTTGGGTATTGGTTTTGAGGAACTAACACTTGCGATTGAATGGTTACTTCTAATTTGGTTTGGATTTGATGTCATATTAGTTGAAATTTCACTTTTTCTAGTTCCGGGCATTCTTAATATTGAAGGCAAATAAGTATATGAACATTTTGATTTAGGCTTTTTTGAAACTTTGGTTATCTCAGATTCACTATCTACGCTGTTTGGCATGTGGTTTAAATCTGACAACACACTTTCTGCCTTTAATACTGATGACCTTAGCTGCCTATTTTCATTAATATTACTGGAGCGCTGTGGGTTATTGATACTTTCCTGAGTTACATTTTCAAAGATACTTTTGCCTCCTGCATTTACAGAGTATACCTTTACACTCTCCACGGGGTTTAATAACTTGTCAATATTTGTATCGTCAAATAACTCATTGTTAATATTTTTAGAATCCAACACATTATTCTTGTTTTCCATTACAATGACTGGTAAGTAAACCACTCTAGACATGGATTTTTGGACTGAAGTAATCCCGGTTTGATTTTTAAATGCCAGTATTGGGATTTTATCATAGTCGGTTACTGAGATCAGCTTTTCTATAGTCTCATTTGGCGATTCTTTGTTGAATGGTCCAGAAGTGACAACCTCAGTTGTGTTTGTTGAATATATTTGGTACTTTGGTTGATTGACTTTAATATCTGTAGGTTTCTGGTTTTCACCCTCTGTGTCTGTCACTGACTCCTCCAGCAAAGTCTCTGGCTCTGATGGGTTAGTTAAATTGTGATAATGTTGATGTTTGATACTAAATGGTTTATGTTTTTTTGGTTGCTGAGCATAATAAACCTTAAGGCTACCATCAAAGGAACTGGTCCCAATATCTGTTGGCTTTTTTGGAGCTCTATTATTTGATTTGAATTTACGATTGTGGCTTTGTCTTTGTTTTGGCAGGTAATCAAAGCTGCTACGGTTATAACCAGATTCTCCTATAGTGTATGCCGAGTCTGTATCTGGGTATCTCGTACGTCGTGGAGATTGCTGATATTGGCTGTATTCACTGTCATCTGAATCATACTTGTAATACTCTTTTTCCGCTTCATATAAATTACTGGAGCCATAAAGATAAGGATAACTGTATACATCCTTAGTTCTTCCATTATAAAAATCATCATGTGAGGAATAATCATATTCCTTGTCAAATTTTACATGTTTTGAATTCTTGGAATTCTTAGAAAATTCCCACGTTGATGACACCAGTGATGTTTCTGATTCAGAATATATGTCATATTTAGGCCTATAATATGGACTACTTTTTTTGTGATACTTGGGCTCTTTTCGGTAGGACATGTTCTTGAAATGACTCCAGGATACAAAATCAGTCACCCTGATAAATGTATATCTGGAATACAATATAATACAGAATACAATAAAATAACTTTGATCAACAGCTTCAAGCATAGAATGGTGTCATCTGAAACAATCCATCAAAAATAATTTAACATCACACTGTAAGAATAATACAAATTTATTGTTTCAATACAATAAGAATAACTATCAATTTTTACCACGTGTACGTACCTGAAGCAACTGCTAGTATTGGGAGGTCATTTATTCTTTCTAGAGGACATATATAAGCAAGTTCCTGCATTACAGAATCTGACCAAATCTTAGAGCCCAAGCTTATCTATTGCTGTGATTTAATTCTCAGTTTTCTAGACTGTTTACCCAAATTCAACAGTAAAATTAACTTTGCTCCCCTTTATGTT